TAATGACCTTTATCACAATATGCTAATTTTTTGAGAAGGACCTGTATTTGCTGAATTGGGTTTAAATAAGGTGAAATGAGCACAACAAATAGGAAATTGCCTTAAAATAAACTAAAATTAGCAACACAAAAAACCCAGTTGAAAAATAGCTGAAAAGGCAGAAAGAAGCTTAAGTTACCAGAATGAAGTGGAAAGAGCTGAAATGAGCTAAAAAATGTGGATTTAGCTGAAAAAGCTAAAATTTGCATAAAACAGTAAAGTAGCTGAAAAAGCTTGAAAAAGCTGAATGGAGTATAACAAGCTAAAATTAGCAGAAGGAAAGTATCAGAAATTACCCTGAAAAATTGAATTCTTCTGAAAACTGCTGCAATTAGCTAAAAATGCTAAAAAGGTAGCTTAAAGGGTAGAATAAGCTTAAATTATCACAATAAAGCAGAAAGAACATGCTTGCACAATTATGCAGAAGTGCGCTCAAAAAGTGGAAATTATCTGAAAAAAAGCTGAAATTAGCAGGAAACAACTGAAAAGTAGCTAAATAAGCAAAAAGAAGCTTAAATTACCAGAATGAAGTGGAGAGAGAATATTTTTGCTGAAAAAAGTTGAAATGAGTGCAAAAACAATCTGGAATTTGCTGAAAATGACAAAATTGGCATAAAACAACTAAATAGTAGCTGAAATAGCAGAAAAGGCTGAAACTTGCAGAAATAAGCCGTAAGGATCATAACGAGCTGAAATTGGCAGAAAGAAGTTAGAAGAAGCACAAAAATGTTGTTGTTAGCAGAAAGTATCTTGAAGCACAAAACAGCTGAAATTTGCTGAAAAAATAGTTTTTCTTTAATTCTTTTTCAAGCACACAAAGTTTAACGGTGACGGGATCAGGGTAAAATGGGACAAAAACAACACGGTATAAAACGGTTCAGTTGTTTTGGTTTCAAGGGGATGAAGATCATTTGTTGTGGCATAGTTTCTGAAAAACTCTGTTTCTCCTGTCCATACTGATCCACCATAAATGTGCTTGTTTCCTCTTTTCTCTCTGAAATCTGTTGACGCGAGCTAAAAAAACCCCACAGCAAATGGTGTTTTTAAAATAATCCGGTCCATTGTAAATGTGACCATGGAAATTTAGTCTGACGAGATTAATTAGCTAACGGCTAGTTCGTGCGTGGCCGAGACAAACGTGCGTTGGTCCCGTCTTAAAACAACTTGTCTCAAATATTTCGTGCAGTTTGTGCAAATGCAACTTCAAAATGTTTTTATCGTCTCTTTCACGGTGCATGGTCGGTTACGTACGATGTTATTGATTGAGTGTAAACAGTAGCAGCTAGCAGTAGCACTTCCAGTTTGAGGTAAAGCCGGTGTTTTTGACGTTGTCTCTGTTCTGTCAGCAAATGGCTCAAAACGCAGCCGTCCGTGGGTTTCTGCGTTACGGCTGGAGGTGGAGCTGGAGGTTTACTCTGATCACCACTCTGTTCGGGTGAGCTGAAGAACGCTTGGGTTCGGCTCGTTTCACACGAGTCGTCTTTGAGAAGGAAGATTGATCAAATGTCTTTCCTGTCCGTAGATCCGTCACCGCCGGACTGTCCGTGTACCGGGACAAAGAGGCCATGATTCATTATTTAGTTGGTGGAGGTGAGCTGGACGTGTCTTTACTGTCCCCGCATTTAGAGCTTAGGGGCCGAACTTCCTGCAACTGTTGAAGAAAAGAGCTAAAACTGTTCATGTTTTCTTACTGTAGCTGGGAAACCTGTCGGTCAAAACGAGAAGCTCGTTATATCCATCGTAGCAAAATTCAATGAACCTCACTTAAATTAAACGTTCTAATTAAAAGCTGTTTTCATTTTGTGAAATGCATCTTTAAGGTGAGCAGTACTTTAAAGTGCCTGTGACGTCAAAAACTAGCTAAAAACATGCTGAAATGTAGCTGAACTGGAAGAACAAGCCAAAGGTGGCAGAAGAAAGCAGAAAGAAAACACATTTGCTGAGTTGGTGTTAAATAAGTAGAAATGAGCAGAAATAGAGTTAATTAGCTAAGAGAGGCTGAAATCAGCAAACAAATAGCTGAAAAGTCAGAAAGAAGCCTAAATTACCAAAGGAAGTGGAGAAAGCAAAATTGTGCCCAGTTAGACTTAAAGAAGCAGAAAACGGCACAAAAAAATGAAATTATCTGAAAAAAGCTGAAATTTGCAATAAACGGCTGAATAGTAGCTAAAGAGGCAGAAAGAAGCTTAAGTTATCAGAAAGAAATTGAAATAACACCACTGTGCCCAACTGGGCTGATAGAAGCATACATTTGCACAAAAAGTGTAAGATATCTGAAAAAAGCAGAAATGTCCACAAAAAAACACCATAGCTGAATAGTAGCTAAAGAATCAGAAAGAAGCTTAAGTTACCAAAAGGAAGTGGAGAGAGCACCACTGTGCCCAATTAGACTGCAAGAAGCAGAAATGAGCACACAAAGTGAAAATTATCTGGAAAAAAGATTACATTAGCAAAAAACTGCTGAATAGTAGCTAAAAAGGTAGAAATAAGCTTAAGTTGCCAGAAGAAAGTGGAGAGATCACAGTTTTGCTGAATTAGGCTGAAAAAAGTTGAAACGAGTGCAAAAAATGTGGAATAAGCTGAAAAAGCTAAAATTAGCATAAAAACAGCTGAATATTGGCTGAAATGGCAGAAAAAGGTGAAACTTGCAGAAATAAGCTGAAAGGAGCATAAGTTGAAATTAGCAGAAAGAACTTGGAAGAAGCACAAAAATGTTGTAGTTGGCAAAAGAATCTGAAAGGAACACAGTGCGGCTGAATTTTTTTATTTGCATAAGGAAGTTTTAAAGAAGCTAAAGCCGAACAAAATGTGAAAGGAGCAGTAAAAGGGAGGTAAAATGAGCTAAATTTATTTTCTACGAGAGAAAAAAATGTCAGAAAAGGCTAAATACTTCAAAAAGCTAAAGTTGCACCCATACCAAATGTCATAGCACCCATCTCCTGAACGAGCTGAACGTTTTGATGTATGACTTGATATGCGCTTCTCAGGGGAACGGTTGTTCAGCAACAGGAAGTGACATCAAAGAGGAAACAGTGCGTGTAAACGGAGCATTGCTACAGCAGCTAACACGGAGCCCACGAAGAATCTGTTGACATTATTTTGACAGAAACAAAGAGTCAGAATTCAAATATTTCAGGAAACGAAAACCAGGGAGTTCCCCTTTGATGTCACTTCCTGTTTCTCTTTGGCTCTATCTATTTACAAGAAATATGCCAGTTATTTGACAAAATGGGTAAAATCTTGAGTACTATGCCATATTCCTTACACGTTAAGATGTTTTCTTCCACTTTTTGTAGTTGTAGAATATGCAGCCTCTTTGATGCTTAAATATTAAGGCGGTGCGTTCAGGACGAGTCGTTTTCCTCGTGATCTCTGACCGGAACTTTCTGTGTGCGCAGCCGTCGCAATGGGCCTTTACAGGATCCACCTGGGCCTCAGAGGTTTGGTGGCAGGAAGCGTCCTCGGTGTGATCCTGGGGTAAGTTCCTCACCACGCAGCTCATTTTAATGCAGCCGAACGTCGTGGGTCGTCCTCGGTGGGTTCACCCCCACGGTCCAGCGCTGCCGTGCATGAAAACAGCCTTTGTGCTTGGGAGCGGTGAGCACTCTGGCAGCCAGCTGCGTCCCTCCCAGCAACCCTCTGCAGCCCAGCTGCACCCCGGTCCTCCTCCCGTTCTGCTCAGTGCCAGAGGGACTCACGTGTGCCACATTTGGCTGTTGTGTTTTGGATGTTGGAGTGGAGAGGCGGGCCAAGGCATCAGCTGCCCCTCGACATGAACCCGCTTACTGTTCCTCCTCCCTCATCTGTCATCGTCTTTTTTCATGTTTGTCATCACGTCTTTTAGCTGATCTGAGTTAAAAGCATTTTGTTTAGTAAAGATTTAGAGCCTCCACGTTGGCTCCTGTCTTGTGCTCTCGGTGTGGCCGAGACACCTGGAGGTGTGCGATGTGCAAACGGCCCCCCGGCCCTGCAGTCTGGGCGAGAATCTGTGAGGTGGGAACAGTTGGGTAGTGAAGAGAGGCAGCTAACGCCAGACCGTCACAGCAGAGGAGTTTCCTTTGGAGACAAAAAGTGCATGGAATCAACAGTTGAACACAACTTTTAGTTGTTTTGGCAGAACCTAGTGGTTCCCAACACTGTTCCTTGAGGAACACCATCCTGCATGTTTTACTTGTTTCTCTGCTCCAACACACCTGATTCAGTGACTTGATTACTTCCTCATGTTCCGCAGAAGCCTGTAAATCACCCATCTCGCACCTAAAAACATCAAGGTTTACTAGACTTATTCCAGTCTGGAAAAACACTCGTCTCCAAACCTACAAACATTCACAATTCAAATCCCTCAGCGCCTGGAGACGTCGGCGTGTTGCCTGTTAACGTTTAACGTTATATTTTAGACTTCGTTTTTTTTCCTTTTCTGATTGTTCTCGTCTGTTTCGAGCGTTCTAGATGTTTTTACTGCCTGTTTTGACCAAGATGGTTTTAGTTTTTACTTAAATCTTCTCGTTAAACAAATGAAAATGAACTAAAGTAACTACCATTTAAAACGTGGTGGGGAAAAAAATGAACGTAATGAATATTTGTGTAACGTAACAAGATTCAACAGCTGGTTAACGGTGATCTTTAGTTTTTGGTAAAGTTTATTAATCCATGTGACGTTAACTTGTGATTGTGAGTAAACGAACTGCTTTATGGACAGGGCTCCTGCCGGTGCTATGTTCATCGGCCTGCAGAAATTCAGCGGCGAAACTTGGTGTGAGAGGAGGAAGAGAGAGCGCAGAGAGGTGTACGAGCTCAGGCTTCAAGAGTGGTACGTCTCATCATTTGTTTGTTTACGTTAAAGCCTCGCCTTGATTATATCTTCAGTGTAAAACATGGTGTGGAACTAAGCTGTTGCTCGGAGAACACGTCCCCACGCTGAAGCACGAGGGTGGGAGCATCATGCTGTGGCCGTGTCTTCCACTCTAACAGAATAAAATGGGATGCAGAGTAATTGAGATAATTGAAACTGGGATTGTTTAGAATGACTTCCCTAAACAAGAGTTCTACTCCAAAACAAATTTAAAGTATTGTGAACAAGACCAGTTTTTTGTAAACGTAGTTTTTCATTATCTGTAAGCCGTCGTCATTAAAATGACAAGAAATGAAAGCTTTAAATCTTTCACCCTGTGTAATGTAAGTTCTATGTCATATAGGCTTCGCCCTTTAAGGCTGTCGCTGATGGTTTATCCCGTTATGCGCAGCATAAGCACTGAAAAAAATTAGTCCACGCCCACCTGCTGTGTGGGCCCCACCCGGTCCGTATAAATTACGTTAAGAGCGGGAAATCGGCTCCCATTTTTTCTTCAGCGAGCTAATATAGCACTGTCAGAAGAACTAAGAAGATAAATTGTGTAAATGACCAACCTTTGCGGAAGATGCTTGGCCCGGCAGTCGACCTCCGGTCGTCCGGTGAGTTCTCCTCCCCGAGGAGAAGATGACAGCAGTCTTATTCCAAGGTAAGCGTCGGGGAACATTTCCCAGTGACAGGTCATTACACGCTGGACAACGCCATCTTGTGTTTTTCCTCTTATCGCCGACCCTCGGGGCGAACCGGATGGTTCCTCCGGGGCAAGGTGTGCTCAGCTGCAGCCCCCGCTGCTCATTCCCTCCCGGGGAGCGTAGTGTAGGTGGAGGGGGGCTGAGTGAATGCTCACCCCATCTCACCTCGTTTCGCATCGGCGATCACACCGCTCCCGGCCGACAGCGCCCTCAGGGGTTGCCCGGCGGAACCCGGGAGGAGGCTGACATGAAGGGACCCCTTTTTTCTACGTCCCTCGCCTTTTCCCGCCAGTTCGGATGATCGGCGGAAAGGTTATTTTTCACTGACGTGTTTTTCCAGGCAGCCGCAGTTAGCAACAACGTGCGCTGCTAGCATATAGCATGTCCAAGGGACTGAAGGCCGCAGACCTGCCTTGGAGACAAAGAACTCCCTCTGTAAGGCAACTGACGCTATTCCTCGGTTCCCTCCCCTGGAGCCAAGCCTCGCGGAAGCTTCCGGAGCGAAGCTGTCCAGGTCGGAGCAGCGTCCCGTCCCTCCGGAGGAACCAGACGGCGACCAAGCTCTCCAATCGAGCCCACCGACGTGTTTTCAGGCAACCGCAGTTAGCAACAACATGCGCTGCTAGCATTTAGCATGTCGAAAAGGCTGGAGACCTCAGACCTGCCGGAGGAGACAAAGAGCTCCCTGTGTAGATCGGCAGACGCCATCCTCAACATGTGCGCCGCTCCCTCGGTTTGCCTGTCGAGGATTGTAGCATGGATGACGGTAATCCAACGTTCCATCTGGCTCCGTCACTCTCCATTGCTGCCGGAAAAGCTGCACAAAGACCGGATGGAGGGCCCCATCTCATCGGACGCGCTGTTCGGAAGCAGCTTGACGTCCATGCTGACGAATTCGAAGCAGTCGGAGGAGACGTCGGAAGCTGTACGCCATCTCATCAAGCCGCGCGGCTCATTCCGTCCTCCAGCCCGCTGGAGAGATCGTCGAAAGCAGAGGCAGAAACATCGACGCTCCACGGCAGCAGCAGCTTCGTCTCGCCCAGCTCCACCACCAGCCCCGCCCGCCAGAGACCACCCCTCCTCAGTCCGGCAGCCTGCACTTCAGCGTTTTCCCCAGAGATCGCCTGCAGACGGCGCTCGGAGCAAACAAACCGCAGGGCTCACGGGGGAGAAGTTTTAAGAAATGACGGTCTGCGGAGGATGTGTGTATAAATGACACAGGAATTGAATAAATGATTTTTCAAAGATCAAAATGCCTGTTTTTAGCCAGTCTGTAAGCTCGGATGAGCTCACAGCCGCTACACACACATCCTCCACTCATAAGAGCCGGTGTCCTTAAATAAAGGTTTTTTAAATCCACCGCCGCTCCTTCACATGCCCAGACGCTCACGTGACACCACGGTAAGCGAAATAACTTGTTGTCAATCAGACCCGCACGATCACCTCCCAACGGTGTTAACGCGCACCCGAGCGAGGCAAGCAGCCTCCATCCAAACGGCACTGTGTCGATGATGCACGCACAGCTGCCCGGCGCTCACCGGCCCACATCGGGATAAATGTGGGACCGCAGGCCGGGTCCGGTGGAGGTCCCTGCTCTCAGCGAAAACAACACACGCCTCTCCTGAATGAACGCGAGTGGCTGTCATCCACCGCGTCCCAGCGATCAGCAGCTCACGGCGGCATAAGCGTGAGACAGCTGAATGAATCCAATGACGGGCCCCGCCCTCAGCGAGAGCGGCGCGCGTCCCTCCAGAGGAAACGTGCGCTCCCGCGAGGCTCACAACCTTCACTTCATCAGCTGACACACGCCTCGCCTCAGCACACACCGCCCCGCCCGGACATGAAGGTTGGTCCGCGATCCAGTCACAGCGCGCGGGCGCGCGCAGAACAGCCCTTTCGAGAAAGCCTCGCCTTGGGTCACGCGGAAAACATTTCCGCGACGCATGACGGCGGTCGAGGCGGAGGTTTGGATGACATCCGTTCAAAACACGGCACATCATTTAAACGCACGTCCACTCCACGAACGTCACGCAGAGTGGTTAAAAACATGCTCACCGGACAGATGGATGGACAGAGTGTTATGCAAGGGTTACACGCTGCAGTTTGCAACCCGACCCCCTCCGTTCGGAGGAGGTATAGAGACGGTCCTGTCATCAACAGACCAAGTCTCAGCCTTAAATGCAGAAGTCCAAGAGCTTCTGATAAAAGGTGTAATCTCAAGAGTTCCCAACGAGGAGGAAAACACAGGGTTTTACTCACGCTACTTCCTGGTCCCCAAAAGGACCGGAGGGATGAGACCGATTCTGGATCTGTCAGCTTTCAACAAAGCGATCATGAACAGATCTTTTCACATGTTGATGAACAGACAGCTGTTGGACAACATCCAGGAAAACGACTGGTTTGTCTCCATCGTTTTAAAAGATGCCTATTTTCACACACCAATCATCCCAAAACACAGAAAATTTCTGCGTTTCGCCTTTCAAGGGATGAAGTACCAGTACAACAGGTTGCCTTTTTTGGGTACTCCCTCGCGCCTCGTACGTTCTCAAAGTGTGTGGAGACAGCCCTGCATCCACTGCACAAGCAGGGATGAGAGTTTTGTTTTACCTGGACGACCTGCTGCCCCTGTCTCACTCCAGACAGGAAGCATTGATACAGGCTCAGGTGTTAGCATCACACCTGCTAAATCTGGGTTTCGCCATAACTGGAAGAAGAGCTCGATTTTCCCGGCCCAGATAATTGTTATCTGGGAGTGGAATTAAACTCAATTACCATGACGGCTCGTTTATCACAAACAAGAATCGACACTCTAAAAACCAATTACGCCACGTAAGACCTGGCAAAGTGGTAACAGCTGTCTCCGTCATGAAGCTGTTGGGAATGACGTCATCAGCTCACACAGTGGTCCCGCTGGGTTTGTTACACATGAGACGCCTCCAGAGGTGGTTTACGCGTCTGCGTGTGGATCCAGTAAAACAAAAGAGACGGATGATCACTGTCCCTCCCTCCATGGGAGCAGACCTCCGACACTGGGGAAACACCCTGGCTCTGTCAGAGGGAGTCCCCGTCAGCAGACCCACGTCACGTGTCAGTCTTCACGGACGCGTCTCTGTCAGGTTGGGGGGGGGAACATGCCTATCTCAAGCAGTAGGGGCGCTGTGGCCCCACCGCACATCAGCCCACATCAATGTTTTTTGGAGTGTCGCACAGTGCTGAATGTGATTCAACATTTTGCTCCCGTGCTACAGAATCAACACGTGTTGATTCACACAGACAACATGGTGACTGCTGCGTACATAAACCGCCAGGGGGGTGTGCGTTCAGCCCAGATGTTACACATTGCGCGGAAGCTACTGAGTTGGGTTCATCAAACCTGCTTTTATTAGAGCGGTTTACATATCCGATGTTCTGAACAGAGGGGCTGATGTGACGTCCAAGGGCGGCCCACGTTATGTGGACCGGATCCTCCATCCGGATCTGATGTTTTTCAGACACAGCAGAAGTTGGCAAAGCAGCTGTGGACCTGTTTGCGACGCGAGAAGAACGCGCAATGTCAACTACGGTTTTTTTCCCTGAGCCCGCGAGACGATCCATCGCTGGGGGGGGGACGCATTTGCTCACAGTCGGTGGCCCAAAACGCTTTTTACGCGTTTCTTTTCCCTCACCTCCTCTGTTTTTTACGGTCCATGAACCGAGTTCAGGAGGAGGGATTGACAGCTCTCCTGGTGGCTCCCGGCGTGTGAACGCACTATGGTTCCCAGGCCTGCAACGTCTGTTGTGGGGTCGCCGTGGAACTGTCGTGGAGGAAGGATGCTCTCCTTCAGGCAGGAGGAGCGACCAAGAGTTACCCAGAAATAGGTCAACACCGGTGGGTTTGACCGCTGAGCGGTCCCACTTAGAGGATGGGTCTCCCTCAGGAGATAGTGTGCACAATTCAAGATTCACGTGCTGCATCTACCACAGTTCTGTACACATCAGGGGTACGGCTTTTCAGCGCTGGTGTACAGAGAAGGTTTAGAGACCACTTCATGCTTTTTAGGCAGCGTGTTGTTTTTCTACAACACCTGATGGATAGGGAGTTGGCTTTCAGTACGCTTTAACGTACGTTGCAGCCATCTCTTCCTGCCACAAAGGGTTTGGAGACAGAACAGCTTTTAATCACCCGCTGATGAAGCGGTTTCTAAAAGGTGTACAGAGATGTAGGCCTGTTTCATGCCCACTTGTTCCACAGTGGGATTTTACGCTGGTCCTGCGAGCCCTGATCAAAGCTTCAATTGAGCCTCTGGATCAGTTTTCATTTAAATTCTTGTCTCTTTAAACAGTCCTGCTGCTGGTTTTAACACCCGCTAAGAGGGTAAGTAATTATCTGCCCTCTCTGTTGTTTCGTCATGCCTTAGAATTAGGCTGACGGGCAGCTCAGCTGTTTTAAGACCAACCCAGCTTTTATGCCTAAAACATCACGAGCTCTTTTAAATCAAGAGTGATGTCGTTGGAGGGGTTTTTTCCCCCCCACAGATCAGAAGGGGAAGCATCTGTTCATCTTCTCTGCCCGGTGCAGGCGTTGACGTGTTACGTAACGCGCACAGCTGCAATGCGTTCAAATTCAACAATTGTTTGTGCATTATAGAGATGCTTCTGCAGGTCGCCGTTATCCATCCAGCGCTTGTCACACTGGCTGTGTGAGGCCTTTTTTCTGAAGCCTACAGAGCATCAGATTTAGGGCCTCCTGTCAACCTCTAAGCACACTCCACCAGGGGTATCGCATCTTCGACTGCTCTGCATAATGGTATGTCAATGCAGGACATTTGCACTGCGGCTGCATGGTCAACACCCTGCTCATTTATTCGCTTTTACCTACGTGATGTAACGGCTCGTTCCATGACACATTCTGTCCTTAGTGCTCTAACAGAATGAATATTGTTGTTCTCATGGAACTCTGTTTAAGCTCACTTCTGTCTGCATGCATTACAGTGTGAGATGTTGTTTTCAGTCACAGTCGTGTCTGTGATTTTGGTTCTATTGTCACTAATCAGTTCATGATTATTGTTAACAATCAGTTCATTTGATTATTGATCAATTCATGGACATTAATCTGTTTATACTGTTCAGCCATGAACCAGTTGGTTCATGCCCCCCTCCCCCCCCTCTTTTAACTTCCTCTTCCCGTTGAAAGTTTTTCCGGGGTATTCATGTTTGTCAGAACGCATAGTTACACAACATGCGTCTGTGCATGGCACATAATTACGCGATGCGTAGTTTATGCACACGGGGAGCTGAGTGACAAGACGCTTTTTGGGCAAGCTTCCGCTTCTTACTGTGTTCGAATGGACCCAGTGAGGCGAGGACCACATCCGCTTCGCCCTTAAACCATCAGCGACAGCCTTAAAGGGCGAAGCCTATATGACATAGAACGTTGGTTACGTACTGTAACCCCAGATTCTATGAATATAGGCGTAGCCCTTTAAGCGTCGGGCCTCACTGGCTCCTAAATGGCTGAAGAAAAAAGCTATTTTGGGAGCCGATTTCCCGCTCTTAACGTAATTTATACGGACCGGGTGGGGCCCACACAGCAGGTGGGCGTGGACTAATTTTTTTCAGTGCTTATGCTGCGCATAACGGGATAAACCATCAGCGACAGCCTTAAAGGGCTACGCCTATATTCATAGAATCTGGGGTTACAGTACGTAACCAACGTTTCTGCTAAGATTGACTAAATTAATTGCTCTTGTTCACGATATTCCAGTTTTTTAGATGCGCCTGTAAATAATATCTCGCCTGTTGTAGATGGCTCTTTAAAGTTTACCGTAATGTCCGGTCTATAAGCCGCTACTTTTTTCACACGCTTTGAACACCGTGGATTTTTATTTTTTTTGTCAGGCTAACGAGATTCCCTGCCGCCAAAAATATTTAGCTTCATCACACCCGAGTGCTCACATAGCTGCCCAATACATGACTTTCCTGGGAGGTGGGTCTATGTGACACACACAGAGTGAACCCCACCACCTCCCTTCCTCGTGGTTACTCTACTGAATGAACACATAAACTAAGAACAACAGACTAATCACTAAAAGAACAAAGCTGAACGGCTAACCGAAATGACAGTGAACATTAATTTTACACATAATCCCCCTCTGAGGCCATGTGACCGGCAGTCAACCACAATGAACCAATGAGATAAATCTCATTGAATCACGAGGACCCACCCCCAAGAGAGACTACCGTACTTGTCGTCGTACCGCCGTATAAGTCGCATCTATTAGGCGTCACCGCTGACGAACCGGAAACGTGGGCCAGTGTTGTGCCAAAACTCAATTGACTGCCAAATGGCGGCCGCGGAGAAGACTTTAACAAGAATTTAACACGATTAACACTTGAAAACAATTCTTTGTTTGCTCGACATTATAGTAAAGGTGTGTCTCGGTTGAACTTTTCCTTAGTAAATGCACTTTAATGGTCAAATCGGTTGCATTTCGCCTGGGCAGCACGGTGAAATGCAGCTGATTTGACGTTTGCTCCACGAGCTCCGGAGCGAGACGAAGGTGGCGCTCAAGGTGGCTGCATGATGGAGTAGCTCTCTTTCATTCACTCTGACATTTTGCTTTTGAAAACTTTAATTACCGTTCTTTCTGGATGTAAATCTCTTTTATCGGATACTTCCTCTGGTATCCGATGCTGTGCAGTTGGAAGGATTTTTACTGAAACCTTTTTAATTTTGGACATTTGTTGTGATGCGTAACCATAACAACAAGGTGGTTTTCTACAAGTGGGAGCTGCTGATTAACATGTCAAAAGCTCAAATATTACCTCAACTACAGCCTCAGATCCCAAATGAGTTGAAAAGGAGGCGCCGTGGATGCATTACCATCTATGTACCTGGAGGCGGTGCTCGAGTGCCTGACTGCTGAGATCTTGGAGGTGGCGGGAAACACGGCTCATGACAGCAGGAGGACTGAGATCGTCCCCCGGCACCTGCAGTTAAGTCCTTGGCGACGAATGGCTCGGCAGGCTGCTGGGAGAAATGTCTATCACTCGGGGAGGAGTTCTGCCCGGCATTCAGGCAGTCCTGCTGCCCAAGAGGACCGAGAGGTCTGCTGGGTCTGGGTGGACGGATCTGCATCTGCAGCCAGTTTCTTTGGATCCTCTGCTACAAGAGATCCTTCCTGCCATCGGCATCTAGAACAACTCTTTAATGAAACCAAGATGAGCTTTCATTAATTTCCCTTTGGTATCAATAAAGTATTTTTGTATTTGAATTTTGAATTATTAATAGCCACTTTTACCTATTATGGAGACACTTGGCTTGCCATATTTGTCGACCGCCATCTAGTGGCTGAAAATGGTAGTGTTCAATATTTTCCATGTCAGAATGAATGAAATCGTCAGATCTCAGCCAAATATTGGTTTACAAATCCATCCATTATCTTTTGCCCGCTTCTTCCATTTTGGGTCACGGGGTCGCCTGGTGCCCATGTCCGGCAATCACAGTGCGAGGGGCGGGGTACACCCTGGACGGGTCGCAAGTCCATCACAGGGCCACATAGAGACAAACAAGACAAACAACCATTCACTCTCACTCACACCTAGGGACAATTTAGAGTCACCAATCAGTCTAACATGCATGTTTTTGGTCTGTGGGAGGAAACCGGAGTACCCGGAGGAAACCCACGCATGCACAGAGAGAACATACAAACTCCACCCAGTAAGACCCCCCGGACCGGGATTTGAACCAGGGACCTGCTCGCTCTCTGAGAGGCAGCAACTCTACCAGTTGCGCCACCGTGCTGCCTGGTTTACAAATGTATAGGAAAAAACAAATGCATCGCTTAAATTAGACGTGCTAATTTATGCAGAAAAAAAAACTGTGACTTATACAGCGAAAATTATGGTGCCTATATAAAGGTTAAAAATAAAAAAAAATCTGATGAATGAAATTACGGAACAGGTCACAGCTGAACCAGTGAAACGGGGAGGGGAGGAGTGAACGGGAGTCTCACATACATATGTATATATTTATTTTTTAATTTAGTGTGCACGGCTTATATTCGGCTGCGCTCTATAGACCGGCAATTACGGTAGTTTGGATTGGATCGATGCCGTCTTAAAATGACTCGAGCCTGAAAAATTTAGTGACGATCTCATTCAGACTAAGCTCGTCAAACTCATCACAATGAAACTCTTTCTCCAAAATGATGCTGTTCAAAGTGCTATCTACAACAGGTAAGATATTAACTACTCATAAGTTTTCCACATAGCTCCTAAAGGTAATGTGTATCTTTTATAAATCCAGTCAATCTGCTGTAGTTGAGTTGGTTTAATTCCAGCCTCTGGGGCTGAGAGAAATAAAAATGTCAACTAGAGTGAATATTTTCTCAAGGCTCTGTTTATTTTGCAAAATTATATATTTTATTTTCTGATTAACTCTGATCAGGGCGGCCCGACTGGAGTTGACAGACGAGCTGATCTCCAGTCTGAACGTCATCTCTGAGGAAGAGCAAACCGTCAAAGACCTGCAGAGGGTCCAGGCGCTGCTCAGTTTACCTCGGAACGCCGGGGAAAGCCCGGTCTCGAGCCCGGTCTCGAGCAGCTGAAGCTCTTGTGAGGCGTCTGCTGGACTTGAACAGTCGGATTTGGATCAGGTGAAGACGGAAAGAAACCGTGTTTGTCTGGATTCGAGTTCTTCAAAATCCCCCCCACCAAAGTACATTCAAATCCTTGACAATGTAGTTATAAATGTGGAAATTAATAAATATTTACAAATGTTTATTCTGGTGAAATTTTATTTTTTATTTTATTTTTTCTAACACGTACAGGGAGCCGGTGAAGGGAGGACAAAACTGGTGAAACGTGCTCAAACTAAAACTGAAAATGTTTCAGGAACTTATTTTAGAGTCCCCGTGTAGTCCGGCAGTTGACCTGGAGCCAGACCGTGACGGTCGCAGGTGGTGGGCCCACCGAGCCCTGGTTTCCTGACGAAACCCAGATCACGGAGGCACTCGAACCCCTCCATCACTTGTTCAAAATATGTGAACTATCCCTTTAAAACCTTAAAGCATTAAAGTTTAAACAGAATATTTGAACCTTTTTTTTTTTTTATCTGGACATCAAAAAGTTTTGAGTTGATTCTGGAAAAGTTTGAATTGTTGAAATGGGGGAAAAAAAAAAAAAAGTACAACTTCCGTCTTAACATATAGCTTTTAGCTTTCGCCTTGGTGTTTGACAACAGCTAAAAATAAATAAATAAAAATGGTTGTCGGTTTGCTTGACTGTTATTAAATGTTTCCAAGAGCAAAGATGTAAAAATAATTGAAATTACATATTTTTGTAAAAATGCAGAGTGAACGCTGAGAGCTGAATAAAACAGCTAAAAGAAGCAAGACACCTGCTAAAAGCTAAAAAAAAAAGTACTATCTAGAATCTTAAATCATCAGAAGGCTAGCTAAAATAAAAAATGTAGCAAAAGGCTAATTTGAATCTAAAAGATAGCTAAAGGCTGGCTAGAAAATCAAACAGCTAAAGGCTGGCTAGAAGCAGCTAAAGGCTGGTTCAAAGGTTAAAAAAAAAAATGCTAACTACAATCTAAAATCATCAAAATGCTAGCTAAAATAAAATAGCAAAAGGCTAGTTTGAATCTAAAAGATAGCTAAAGGGGGACTAGAAGCTAAAAGCACCTAAAGGCTGGTTCAAAGATTTAAAAAGCATTACCTAGAATCTTAAATCATCAGAAAGCTAGCTAAAATAAAGTAGCAAAAGGCTAGTTAGAATCTAAAAAGTAGCTAAAGGCTGGCTAGAATTGGCTAGACTTTTTGACTAGACTGGCTAGATGCTAAAATTGGCTAAAGGCTTGTTCAAAGCTAAAAATGTGCTAGCAAGAATCTTAAATCATCAGAAGGCTAGCTAGAATCTAAAAAGTAGCTAAAGACTGGCTAGAAGCTAAAAGCACCTTAAGGCTGGTTCAGAGATTTAAAATGTGCTAGCTTGAATCTTAAATCTTCAGAAGACTAGCTAAAATCAAAAACATAGCAAAAGGCTAGTTTGAATCTAAAAGAAAGCTAAAAGCTGGCTAGAAAATCAAACAGCTAAAGGCTGGTTCAAAGCTCAAAAAGTGCTAGCTAGAATCTAAAATCATCAGAAGGTTGGCTAAATTAAAAAGTAGCAAAAGGCTAGTTAGAATCTAAAAAGTAGCTAAAGACTTGGTAGAAGCTAAAGGCTAGCCACAGTCTAAAAGGAGCAAAGTATAAACTGCCAAATTTATCAAGAGACTGAAAACAGCAGAAAACTAGTTAAAAGCAGCAAAAGAGTCGATGAATGTAACGAAACAAAAACTACAAGCGGCTAAGCTAAAAGCTCAAAGTAGCATAAGCTAAAGCAGCTAAATGAGATTTATTTTTGAGGAACTGAAATTATGTGCATTTCTATTAGGGGAATTATTTGCAATTAAAGTAATATTTTTGAAAAGTGTGAAAGTTAAAACATTTTAAAAATCGGTCTACGGTCCTATCCTCACCTGCGGTCTCAAACTCTGGGTAGTGAGAGTAGAGACGTAGACCGTAGGGACGTCCACTGTACGCCTCCTTTGGGAGGTTTTCTTGGCATGTCCGACTGGAAGGAGACCCTGGAGAAGACCCAGGACACGTCGGGGAGACTGTCTCTTGGGAACATCTTGGAGGTCTTGCAGAAGAGACGATTGTGGAAAGACCTTCCTGCTCAAGCTGCTGCCCTCGAGACCCATCTCTGGAACAGGACGAACATCGAACATTATTTTTGAGGTTTGACCAAGATGGCTGCGACGACGGTCATTTCTCGACATAAGATCTTGGTGTTCTGGCACGAAGGGTGGTAGATATGTAGCATTTCTTCAAGGAATATTGGAGCTTAATGAAAGTATATACTTCCTAATCTCTAATAATGTGAAGTAAATGTGTCTTAAAGTATGAACACATTTTAAATCAAACTCCCTCTTGGTTTGTTTAATTTCTTACAAACCGGCATCTCTGAACATGTCTGTTTTCTTCAGTTTGCCTTCCACGTTGCCTCGCAGGCTTTTTAGCATCTGGGTCAGAACCGCTTCGGCCCCTGGTGTAAACGAGATGGGACCGAGCAGCAGCTGGGACCCGCGACGTTGCAGTGACTGCTGATGTGCAGACGGAGAACGCAGCAGAATGAAACCCTCCATCTGTTAGGTAAACAACAAACGTGTGTCTTCAGGTTGTCCTCAGTGCGTCATTAGAAGCTAACGGCGATGAAGACCGAGTATCTCTTTTAATATACAGTAGTTTAATTTATTCATACAGCACCAATTCACAACAAATGTCTCAGCACTGTACAAAAACATTCACATCTATTTATTGAAGTTATCCAAAGAAGCTAGCACATTGTGTCAAATTGCCACTTGGTCACAACCTCCCATTCTAAGCAGCACACTGGCGACAGTGGAAAGAAATGACTCCCTTTAAACGGGAAGAAACATCCAGCAGAACTGGGCTCAGTATGGACAGAAACTGACTTGACTGGCTGAGGTTAGAGGACAGGAACCAGATGCACAGAATTTCTGGTCCAGGTGTGGTTTCTATGGTTCAGGTGTAGTTCCTATGGTTCAGGTGTGGTTTCTATGGTTCAGGTGTAGTTCCTATGATTCAGGTGTGGTTTCTATGGTTCAGGTGTGGTTTCTATGGTTCAGGTGTAGTTTCTGTGGTCCAGGTGTAGCTTCTGTGGTTCGGGTGTAGCTTCTGTGGTTCGGGTGTAGCTTCTGTGGTTCGGGTGTAGTTTCTGTGGTTCGGGTGTAGTTTCTGTGGTTCAAGTGTAGTTTATGTAGTTCAGGTGTAGTTTGTGTGGTTCAGGTGTAGTTTATGTGGTTCAGGTGTAGTTTATGTGGTCCAGGTGTAGTTTGTGGTCCAGGTGTAGTTTATGTGGTTCAGGTGTAGTTTCTGTGGTCCATGTGTAGTTTCTGTGGTTCAAGTGTAGATTCTGTGGTTCAGGTGTAGATTCTGTGATTCAGGTGTAGCTTCTGTGGTTCAGGTGTAGTTTCTGTGGTCCAGGTGTAGTTTGTGTGGTTCAGGTGTAGTTTGTGTGGTCCAGGTGTAGTTTGTGTGGTCCAGGTGTAGTTTGTGTGGTCCAGGTGTAGTTTATGTGGTTCAGGTGTAGTTTATGTGG